GGTTTAGGGTTTAGGGTCTCGGGGGGCTCTGGAATCCCTCTCTCTTTCTCTCTCCTTCTCTGTCACACTCTCTTTTTGTCTCTCTCTCCCTCCCTCTGTCACACACACACACACACACTCTCTCTCTCTCTCTATTTCCATTATGACTTAGAGGGTCCTTGCTTCTTGCCGCCGCCGAAGCAGTGGCGGCGTTCCGACTGTGGTTAACTGTCACTGTTGCCCATGAGTGCAAGGATGCAAAACCCTTCCTTGCTTGTTGTTGCGCGAGATTTCCGACGTTCGGGTTTATGGCTTTCGGGTTTCAGGGTTCAGGAGTTCGGTTTCGGGAATCAGAATTTCGGGCTTCGGGTGTAGGACTGAGAGGTTTAGGACCCAGGGCTTCGGAGCTATTTGGGTTTGCTTGATCCGCATGAGTCAAACTTGCATCGCAGGGACGTGTAGGAAGCATGCTGCTAATTACGGTAAGCGAGCTTGTTTTGATTCAACACACAGGGTTTGCCCGAACACCAAAACGCTGAGAAAAGGGATCAAACCCCAAAGGCCTTGAATGCAAAGACCCTAAGTCGCAACAGGAGGAGCCAATGTCTCCAGCCAGCGTGAACACTGAGGCACCAATGGTTCTCATGGTTGGCAGCTGTTAGGGTTTAGGGTTTAGGGTTTAGGGTCAATATCAGCATCATGATTCTTCATACTCAGCTTTTTGCAGCGGGGAGGAGAGGGTTATCAGAATTCAGGGGTGGGGGTTTGGACCTTCGAGGTTGGTCTAGGGCAAGCCCTAACCAGCAGCTAAGCAAAACCCTACTCCTTACACCAAAACCCAATCAGCCCAAAACATTAGACCCTGGGCCCTGGGCCACTAACTCCCCAAACTCTACTCCCTAACCCAAGCCCCAAACCCTGAACCCCAGAGCAAGAGCCCTATCCCTAAGCCTAACCTCAGGCTAAAGCCAAAAGCCCGAAACCCTTGAAACTCTGAGCTCCTGCACACATGAAAACCAATTTCAACCGAATATCGGCCGCGTGTCAGTTTTTGTTTGGGGGACTTTACCTCAGTCGTCAATATGTCTTGCGTGCGGGCCTCTGCGGGCTGGGTTCTCGCTTGCCAACGCTGAGATTGCGAAGCTCAGGACTTAGGACCGTCAACCGAGGACCTAGGGACTTTGGACTATCACCTGGGCCTTCCGGATTTCCTAGGCCTTGTAAGCCCTGGTCTTGAAGGTTTAAATCCCCCAAGCCTGAAAATCCGACTTCGTAAACGTTTTGTGCCACCCCTGTACCCGGAACTCAAAGCCCTGTACCCAAGCCTACACGCGAAATTCCGGATGGCTAGACCCATAGACCCACAATCCTAAACCACAGTACCATAAGCCCGGAATTGCTATACCCTCAAACCTAAAACCATACGTTGCTATTTTCAACACTCTAAAACCTCATCAACGCACTTGTAGAGCCAATCCAGAACCAGGAGGCTATGAAACCACGCAAAACCCTATACCTCAAGCCCAATTACCCTAAACCCTAAATCTGAACAGATCAGTCCTACCATAATGGTTTAGGGTTTATACAGGGTCATAAGCCCACCCCGAATTCTCCAAAGCAGCATACGAAGGACTCTTGGTCCTACGGCGCCACCAGAGGAAGTTGAAATCCCGAGGCCTCTGGACGAGGGTTCCCTTTAAGGGCATTTTGAAGGGTTCTATGAGGGATACTACAAGGTTTTGAGATGTGCTGAATCAGACTTTCAAAAGCCCCAACGCACAGCCATGCAACAACAATTGGGCACGTACGGATATCTTAAGACCTTCAAACCCCCCAACACATAGACCCTACAAGCTAAGCGTCCAACAACACCTAAACCCACAACCGCAGCGTTCACGTACAGACTGGATTTTAGAGCTTAGGTTTGGTGTTTGAAGTTGGACGTTTCGAAGCGTTGCAGGAGCCCTGTAGATTTGGTGTTGAGTTTTTTAGGGCGTGAACCCGGAACAACAAAGAGAATCAACCAACACCGTAGTAGAGCCTGCGCCATATGAATAGTTCACGCGTTTTGCAGTGCTTAAGACTAGTGTGCTGGTACGGAAAGACACCGCCGAAGAACCTCCCGCCAAAAAATTGCCTTTCGGCACTTGCGGCTTAATCCAGAAGCTCAAGACGGTAAGCTGGGTAAGACCCGATACGAATCCTTAGCAATAGAAAGGTCTGCGTACATAGCAGCAGCATCCCTCATGGGCCCCACCAAAATACATATACTGCACCCCTAAACTATTCACGCGGCTCTAAGCTTTGCAAGACTTCGGGACTTGGGCATCAGAGCCACTAGTAGACGTTTAAGTAGACGTTTAAACCACGTAGTACCCTCAAAGGAACACTCAGTTAAGGGAACCCATTAAAGCAACCCTGAACCCTAAACTGATCAGACATATACTGCCTCCTCAGGCTATCAGAATTGGCATGTGATTGCACCAAATTGATAGTTGCTGTTTACCTCATTACTGCTGCGCCCCTGTTGTTGCTATGCTATGGACAGCCGTACTGTTGTCTGATGGCTTGTTCAACTCTAGGCGATTGCGAGTTCTATGTAGACCCAAGTGCCTTCACCCAAGACCGCAAAAAATCTACACCCTAGACCTCAAGCCCCGCCACCCTCTACGCAAATACCCTCAACTCCTAAACCCAATACAAAGCCTGAACATGTACCAATGCTACTATGCCTTAGAGCTCCTATTATGCACTACCAACTCGCCACTCTGATTATTAAGGCCCCTACATTATCCGAAACCCTAAACCCAAAAAACCTTAAACCCTACACCCTAAACCCTAAACCCTAAATCTTAAAATCCTACACCCTAAACCCTAATCCCAAAACCCCAAACCAAAAACCCCTAAACCCTAAACCCTCAAGAAAGTGATAAATAGAAATTGCTTGTTGCTGTTGGCCTTCCGGACTTGCGATTTTCGAATAAACCAATTTCCGTTTCAAGCCCAGCCAGTCCAGCCTAGTTGCTGTTGGCCATCCAGGCTTGCTTTTTCGAATAAACCAATTTCCATTT